CCACCCCAGCCATCGTGCCCGATGCTTCAGAGCAACTGCGACAATGCCGTGAAACCATGCAATAGAAGAGGACCAGTTCAAATGAAAGAAGGTGCTATTGATTTCAGGCGTTCTGCCCGAATCTCGTCCGAGTTGGTTTTGTAATAGATGGCGGCAAATACGTGTGCAATCCACGGAAAGCACCAGAAGACTGCAAGTTAGCTTTGTTTCGCTGTTTGGACACCACTGACATAGGAGGGAACTTCGTAGAAAGAAAAGGAATTCTCAAGAGAAGTTTGCTAGATGAGTAAAGATGGGCGGCGCGGGCGCTTTGCGCGCGTATTCGATTGAACAGCCTTCGGGGTTTGCTCTAAGGCTGCATTCATACTTTGCGGCAGCGTCCACCAGCGACCACAAGAGCTTCCGGCAGCGACCATCAGCCAACAGATGTGGAGAGTACGAGGCGATAGGAAGGTAGCATATGGCTAGTAACACTTTGTCGCCCCATACCCTCCACCAGCGGTCTGCTACCCTTCTATCTCCCAATTCTCTCCACTCCTGGACGCTGCTGGTCGCTAGATCGATATCTATACTGTCCTATTGCCGGACGCTCTGGAAACGCTACTAGTTTCTGGTGCACGCTGCCGCCAAGTATGAACGCAGTCGCCGCTGCAACGCTACCATTGCCTTGGAACAATTTCAGAATTTACTCTCTTGGTATACATGACGAGATCAGCTTTGACAGGGATATTCAAGTACTCAACAACTTCACTTGTGAAATTTATGGATACGATAAGGTATCTTTTGACCTTTCCTATATTTAGACAAAAAGATTGCTATTATGTTCTTAAAAGCACAAGGCACGTAGACTGGTGCTAGCTCGTAGTCAGAAAAAAGCTGCAGGGGGCTGTATAATGAGGAGAAAGAGGAAAAAAGTTGTCGAACGTGCTGGAAACCGGCAGAAAAATCTTGTTCTGCACGGCACTGGACGAGCACTTCTGGACGAGTTCCCCGTTGGCAGCATGCCAACAGTCGCTTTGATAGATGCGCTGCGTGTGCGTATGCGCATGCAACGTTTCATATCAATTGCACTTCATAAATGAGGCGATATTAGTCCCGCATCAATGTGACTGCGCGGCCATTTGTGAACGCGCGGTTGTGATCGGCGTCTAGACCGACACGCTGCTTCCTCGGTTGGGCGCTATATAAGTGAAAAGAGTTTGGTTGAAAAGGCGCCGCACAGCTCTTGCTAGAAAGCAGATTATCCTTCAGTGCTAAGTGTATCGACCCTGTACGCCTTGCCTTATTATCGTGCCACCTTGCCTTTGAAGACGTTGCCCCAGCGCTTTTCGTGCGAGTACCGTTTCTTCCTTTGCTGTACATGCGCGTGCATTGCCAACAATGCACAAACACACGAAACGGAAGTGAAAGCGTGTATGCGGCTTTTATTGTGTCATGACATGCTCTTATTTTGCAGGAGAATACGAGTAACTATACTCAATCAGAGTACAAGAAGATAAACGGAAAAATAGAGAAGGTGGAGTTTGCATCTGAGACGCAGCCAAGGTTTAACCAGTATACTCTCGGTTAGTGAATGTCAGCTCTTTTGCCAATGTCAATTACACTAGAACTTGGAAAAAAATTCTCCTATTCAAGAAAGGGACGTGGAACGCGGTGACATGGTGCTTCCCAGTAAATGAAGATATTTTGAAACCCTCGCTGGTTTCGAAATCACGTCATCATTGCACTAGAGAGCAGCACCAATTAGAACAAATGGAAGCCCAGGGCTTAGCTCAGGGAAAGTCTCTGAGGGCACTGTTTGGGCGCTCAGCAAGGCCTAAGGCTGCATTCATACTTTGCGGCGGTGTCCACCAGCGTCTGCTAGCGTCCACCAGCGACCGCTAGCATTCCAGGCGTCGGTCAGCCTCGGCGACCAGGAATGTATGGACATTTGATCTGCCAGCGCCTACTGGCGTCTACCACCCAAATTTGGAAGATGTTAAGAAGGTCGTGAGAAGGCGTCATAGCCTTGGAAGGGGGGGGGGGTGGCTCGGAGTGTTTTCTAGAGATTATTCCGGCAACGTCAGGATGGACAGATCCATACTTTTTTACTGGAAAGCGGCGCAATTCATTTAATTTTGGGAGGCATTTTCCACTTTCGATGCTTCATAGTTCGGTTTACGAGCCTTCAAAAGTGCAAAATGCCCTCCCCCCCCGTCGCCGAACTGCATCCTCGAAAGCGCCTGGAGACAAAATGACGTTCATGAGCAAAATATAAATCTTGTCGAAGAATTGAACATTTAGGTCTGTAATCAAAAGAAAATAAAAAAAGTTTAAATATACCGTTCTACTTACAGTGATATACACTCCACACCTCGAACATGGAAAAGGCGTGTCTGCAAACTTCTTTTTTGTGGAGACAGCTGCGCTTGTGGTAGCAATTGCCGTTTGGGTACGACTACAGTCTAACCTTTTCCAAGCAAAGTATTGGGTAAAAGTTGTCTCGGATGAAGTGATTCCACGATTGCATCCTGCCCAATTCAAATTAAAGGCAGTTGGCACGATAAATCCCTAAAGACGAGTAGGATTATACGCCTGGCAGGACGGAATTCCGCGCCCTGAGCAGGCGCTGCGTAATGCCCTTTCCAAGGAAGGTACCCTTATAAGGGCCCTATCAAGCTACAACATACCGACCCGAACGCCCGCCCGCCCGCCCACAAATGGACGACCGTTCCTGACGCTCGTATTGATTCATTTGCTAAGCAAATTATGAAGCGAAGGGATTGGTATGAAGCGGCCGTGATGCTGCATGGATATATGAGTACACACATGCAGCCGTATCTTCGGTAGCGGTTATTGGCAAGATGCCTACGGGAAACTCGTCCGAAATTGGTTACGACTACGGGTTTTCTGGGTCGTGTGGAGAAATAGCTTTTTTCGCAGGATTTTGACCGTTTCACTCCGTTCTTTCGCCATTTTCCCCTATATAGCGCCCTGCTAGCATTTTAGGCCGAGTACCAAATTATCGTGCCAACTGCCTTTAAGTAGGCAACCACGCCTTCTCCATCTTTGGGATATGGAGTGTACAGTCCTCATCATTGCGGACCGGTGGGGCGTGTCAGCCAGTATGAGTGTGCACACTGTTGAAGCCGTTCTCAGCCTTTTTGTTGAAACGCGTATGCGAAAGTGGTAGAAAACGAGTAATACGAAGGATATAATACAGTAATGTCACTTGCCCGCTTCAACAACTGGTGCAGAACGACTTTGGCACCGCGCCAAACGCAGCCGCACTGACACGCCCCGGTCCGCAATGATGAGGACTGTACTTCCCTAGTCACAGGACTAAACAAACACACTATCAACTATGCAAACTGAAAACTAATGTACGGTTTTACAGCTGATGTAGTTGAGCGCAACAACCACACATCTGTTGAGTTCCTGAAAATCGACATCGAAGAAGCTGAGCACCAAGTTCTAATACCATTTCTTCGATATAATACCAAGTTTGCGCACGTAAGACTGTTTGAATTGGAGTAATAGACTGGAATTCAACGCACATACTGGCAACGACCAAATTATTCGCTGTCCTTTTCAAATTTTTATTTGATTAGGATAGGAGAGCAGGATAGCAGTCCTTATTCATATTCAAAGCTCTCAAATTGAATGGGAAAGAGTCGCAAGAAAGCAAAAGCCCTTGTCCTTTCCAAACGGATGGTCGCGTGGCACAGGGTACATCGTAGTGTGGAAGCACGATAGGGGGTTGTACTTTTCCGCTGGGAGGGGGTTGTAGCTCGATCGTTTTGGGAGAGGGAGAGGATGGTCTGTGCTTTTTCATAGAGAAATTTGCTTTGTTGGGAAAAAGATTCTTCCGGCTGGTGACGTGTCTCGATCGTGTCTCCCCCACCACCAGCCCTCTCCCTCTCGACGGAAAATCCTGGATGAAAACTCGGAAAATGTGCCTTGAATTACACGGGTAGGGGCTGCGGAAGCCGGGCGGGGTCGCGATCCTCAACGCCATGACACTGTACCCTGCCCTGTCTCGCTCTCCAGAAGCAAGTGCCGGCGTCAATTTGCCTCCAGCCTGGCGTGCATACTTTGTGCCACAATTCACCACCTTTCACAGGCGGGCGCGAGGAACACATAGCATCAGCGACTAGCAAACAACATGATCACCACATTTAGCGTCCAGCGTCAGCGTGCAGCGAATATGAGGGGAAGTAGACGAAGGGTAGGCCATACGCTGGATTAGACGTCGTCAACGTTGCAGCGTCCGTGCAAGCCGCACTTGACCTAGCTATACTATAATGTAGCATTACGCTGCAATAACTTATGTGCTTCACGCCGTCTGTACGTTGCCGGTTTCATATTTCAAGGCGCTTTACGTCAGCTGTCTGCTACACTCCTTACTTTCCCCAACACTCTGCCATCTGGCCGGCTTGGGACACTCGGCATTCCGCCTGTGCCTCGATAACCTAAACTTTCTTAGCAGTCGAAACTCTGCTGCACCTCGGCCTGCGCTGGTGGGACGCTGCGCATAAGTATGAACAAGCAGCTTTGAAGGAGGTAAAAGGCATTCCTCAGGACCACTATCGGAAAATAAATGAACGGTAGCGGTAGAAATATGGTAGTCTTCGCCGTTGGTAGATACTTTCTGGGGTTCGGTACGCCTTCTACTTCCATTGAGAATCCTAGTGGCTCATTAAAGACACTATAGTACGCTCATACACAATTGAGGGTGACGAAGACTATCAGCCCCCAGATGTCGATGTGTCGTGGTCCCCCCGCGCCCAAACATGCCCGGGAATGGAGATACAGGGCCGTGAAACACGCTAATTCTTCCATGCTCCGCCCACTGCCTTTTTACGGCGCAGATTCCCGCCGTTGATAACATCCGTTGCAAGCGCGCCTGTCGCGTGCGGCTCCTTGGCACTTTGCCAAGTCCTTTAATTGCGCTTCAAATACAAGGAAAACGCAATTTTCCTGATGCGGATAACATTGGAGGTGCTACAAAATAAGAGCAGAAGATGATGACGAGGGTCAGAACCTAAAAGCGACTGTGCCACTTCTGCAACATCCCTCGGAGGCCACGTATTTCCACGAAACATGAAAATAAAAACTAAAAACGGCATACTCGTTAGTTTAATACAAGCAAGACGCAATTTCCTGATGCGAATAAAATTTAAGGTGTTGCTCATGCTTCAAAATCCTAGGAGATGAAGATGACACAGGCTAGAAATGAAGCACAACGATGTAAATGTAAACAAAACAAAAATGAAAAAATCAAGGAAAGGCAAATTAGATAAACTGGCCTGTAAATTTCTACGATCCGGCGCCAAAGCCATAGAAATACTTAGAACAAACGAGTGGGACGCTTGGGCTGTTTTTATTTTCATGTTTTGTGGGAATGCGCGGCCCTTGATGGATACTGCAGATGCAGCCGAGTTGCTCTTGAGTTCTGCCCCTTGTCATCATCTTCTGCTCTTATTTTGTAGCACCTCCAATGTTATCCGCATCAGGAAATTGCGTTTTCTCGTATTTGAGAGCGCAATTAAAGGACTTGGCAAAGTGCCAAGGAGCCGCACGCGACAGGCGCGCTTGCAACGGATGTTATGAACGGCGGGAATCTGCGCCGTAAAAGGCAGTGGGCGGAGCATGGAAGAATTAGCGTGTTTCACGGCCCTGTATCTCCATTCCCGGGCATGTTTGGGCGGGGGGACCACGACACATCGACATCTGGGGGGCTGATAGTCTCATACACCCTCAATGTGTATGAGCGTACTATGTGTCTTTAAGGCGATGTGGCCTTACACAGTGACGTTGCGAACTAGCCGATCGCAGAAGTGCAGTGCTCTTACCCTATCAGACTTAACGCTACCCGGTACCAATCTACCTTCCCAGGGAGGCTTGGTTGGCTTGAGCCGGAGCCTATGAAGGATCAACCCCCAGACCGCATGCGTCGTAGCGTAATGCTGCTCGGGATGCTGAGGCGTGCTTACGGAGGGCTGGGTTTGCTTCAAAGGCTGTTGCCGATGAATTTTGGTGCTCGGCTAAATGCTAGTAGGGCCTATATCGTGGGGAAATGGCGAAACGAAGGAATTGAAACGGTCAGAAAGAGCGCTGCCGTTCTCAATGTGTTAGAATCCATTTTGGAACGAGTTTCCTGTAGGCAGTAATGTCAGTACCGCTACCAAGATACGGCTGTATGTGGGATAAACTCATATATTCATGCAACATCACGGGCTTCATATACCAATCCCTTCGCTTCATAATTTGCTTAGCAAATGAATCGATTAGAGCGTCAGGAACGGTCGTCCATTTGTGGGCGGGCGGGCGTTTGGGTCGGAATGTTGTGGCTTGATAGGGCCCTTATAAGGGCACCTCCCTTGAAAAAGGCATTATGCAGCGCCTGCTCAGGGTCGCGGAAGGTCGTCCTGCGCCAGGCGTATTGAGCCTGCTCGTCTTAAGGGGATTTACGTGGGCCAGCTGCCTCTAAGTCCAGCCTGTTTTCCACGAACTGATA